CACCGACTTGGTGATGTAGTGACGTGTAATTTTCACAATAATATGAATTGTATTTTGATATGTCTAATTAGTATGTTAATATTTTTACAACTATATAACTATTACACACGGCATATCTGAGCTATAAATAAACAGTCAATAAATGTATTTATTGATTGTTTGATTCGTGCCGACTTTGATCACGGGGACGTTATTTAAAACAAAAATGTTTTGAACATTGTCTCAGTACTTATGTTGTTTCAGATTTCAATAAAACTAAAATCTTAGCTATCTTTGGGATTTGAACAGTGTGTAGTCGACAACACAGGTTAATATAAAATGTCTACTTACTCTGAGGGATTTTAAGCCTCAACATGTTCATAATTAAGTTAATAAATAACTGCAGTAAATTATCCTTTTGTAGTAAATTGATCTTTTGCTTTGTGTACGTGATGTTGTCTAATATTTATTGTTGTTTATAGATGTGAATTCCGGTCAGTACAATATTTCAATTGCAGCAAAGGCGCTGGGTAACTGAAATATCCAGCTTTCTCTTTAACTTTTCAATCCAAGACTGCTTACCTAAAACTATTTTCTTGCGCTTCTTTATTGTTGCGCTATGAACTTATTAAATATATTTATTAAAATAATAGTTCATCATTGTATTGACTTTGTTTATATTGAAGTTGAGTTCAAAATGATAACGACCTCTTGTTACGAAAACATGACGATTGAAAAAGAAATTGTGTAAATTAAATAATTAATTTTAACGTCAATAATTAAACTTAAATTTCATTGATGGACATCGGAACACATTTATTTATTAACGATAGCTACACATATAATATATAATTTGTATATTTAATATCGGACAATTGCTATACGAATGACAAATTGAAATTTTACTATTTGCCAAGTCCCGAACAGTGATTGGGAACCACTGTCCTTTACGTTATAATACAACGCGTTGTGGTAAACCGCTCTCTCTGTTCGGTAATGGAATATAGGAAATGGTAATTTATACTTGAAATCATAGACCACAGGACGAGTTATACGCCGTTCTGACAATAAGTTACAAATGTTCCATTATTAATAAATATGGAAATCGATAATCCAAACAACAATTTAGTTTTAAGTAAATATAAACAAAAAAGAGTTCTATAATTTCAAATCTTCGTTGGTCGGTGTTACTATCTCTCAGGTTTCGGGTTCGATTCCTGGCCGGATTTGTAGAGAAAATGACTTTTCTAAATCGTTTTGTGTCTTATTATTTTCGATTTCAATAATACGTTAACAGTGGTTAATAAACTTTGAATTATAATATTATAATGTTTATTATTATGATTTAAAGTTTGGTAATATATATTAATTATAATATTACGCTTAATAAGACATTAACAAATTATATAGTATAAGTCAAGTAAATAAAAGTTAAACGGAATATTTCAAAAAGCGAAACACGAAACTACGTCCCTCAGACTGTGGGAACTGGGAGCTTCGAGCCGTACACATTAATTAAAACTCTGAAGATACCGAGGGAGAGTCTGTTATTGAATAAATAAAACTTTCATTCAGATGAAACGGTTAAATTGTCGAAACTAAGCTGAAGGCAACTCATGGTGAATACTAATTATTACTGTAGCGGATAATAAGTTGTCGTTTTAACATTATTAACATTAATAAAAAAGGTTGTTAATTCGTAAGCTTTGATTTGATCACTTGAGAATGAGAGCGGCTCGACGACGATTTGTTCTCTGATTTTCATCACGAACCATGTCAAGGGCAGCAATTAGGAGAGAGAAGAACACTTCGCAATTAAATAAACAATTGTTATTATTTATCGGATATTTTCAGGTGGTGGCCATTTCACTAGTGCAACAAGGCAATTTACAAGAGAAAACATGGCCGATACCTACAATATACAAGAAAAATTACTATAGAAACAACTAGTGTTTGATTTATTTATTATATATAAAACAGAATCAAATGAATTGAAACTACTGTTACTAAGTATCCTAATAAGTGGCGCGGTATATGCGGGCATTAGTACAAAATTTATTGGAAATAAAATCGAAGAACTGACAGCAAAAGATAATGTCTAAATGTTGGATAGATGATATTTGTACAAAAGACAAAGAAGAAAAAAAAAGCATTAGAACAAAAGGAAAATTATACAGAGCGTATACGGGGAATTTCTCAACGGAGGCCGCCTCTCCGCCTCGCCCCATCCTGCCCTCACAATGAATCACTCAATTTGAAAAGTTAAACCGGCAATTTTTACTTTCTATTATCTTCATAAATCTCACCAATTTAAATAAAAAAAAACCCGGCCGATTTATGGATGCGTGTATCGTTAACCGTTGCGAGTGAAATCGGGGTTCGGTTTTTTAAATACCGCCAAAATTTCCCCGGGCTAAAATTTATTACGGGCATTTTGTGAAATTATAAAGCTTAGTTGTTATTGGTTGCCGTTTCTTATCTAGAGAAAAGAAAATGCTATTAAAAGTAAGAACTTTGAGAGTTAAAGAACTAAAAGATTAGTTTAACTAATATAATATTTATAATTATTCCTCATAAACTAATAAATCTGAAATGAATTTAGATAATCAGAAAATGAGCTCGAATGTTTAATAAATGCGACTGGCTAAACAACACACTCCAGACACATAAATTCCCATATCCAATAGATAAACATGCAGGATATTGAACCTTAAACCTTCTATTTTACAGTTTCTAATCATTCGCTGGATAAATAGACGACTGGTAGTAATGAATGCTTGATGAGTCGTATCAAACTCTAAACTACAGTCAAGAAATGTAGAACATTCGAGGGCAGTTAGCGATTCGAGCTACAAGCTTTTAATCAAAAAGTTACCACCAACTTAATCAAGTTACCGCTCCGTCAACTTAACAACTTACACACAGAGTTAAAAGTAATATGAGTTTGGGATGCAAAAAAGTGCAGAATGAAAAGATTCAAAAACGATTTTAATTGCTAAAAAAACTTTTGGAACTCAAAGATGGCGTTACTGAATATAAATTTTGATATACAATACGTTCTATATTTATACACCAACTGCATAATGGAATGCACTCAACACGTGTTACATTATGTATGGTTCCCAAATTGTAATCATCCAATCGGTTGCTTAGATTACAAATGGCCGTATCATGCATAAATAACACGAGCCCGCCTAAACTAGGTAATGTGCTTAATGGTAGAGGGGAGGCAACAGGGCTTTGTAGCCATTGTCCTGGACTAAGCTCTAATCACGTAATGGCGGCATTATTTACAACGCATACATAAATACCATCGTAAAGCCAAATGCCACCAAACCTACAGTGACCTAAATACCAAGTTTATTTATCGAAGACCTGTCTATTCCAATGAACACCGGAGGAGTCGAGCTTTTACGAGTCAGCACTCGTAAAACTTGAAACTTCAATACAATACCTAATATGTGGAACTTTTTTGCCGCATAAAGATATCGGGAATGGAATGTAATAAAAGTAGGAGTCATAAATAAAATATTGTATTAAATATTTCCACCAAAATATTTTGTATTCAAAGAACACCGTTGCGTGAGGAATGGCTATACTACCGTGCTATCAATTTAAGTGAATTACTTGTGGTATTCAGAATTAATGTTATTTATTTATAATTTAAAATATTCATTATCATTAGCTCTCTAGGTTAAAACTTTTTAAATATCAAATTAAATATAAATAAACGTGCAGACGTCAAAGCAAAGTTATGAGGATAAGAAAATAACATCGTTAAATCGGCGTTGATAAGTTCATCTCTCGTCTCGGCCATTTAATGGTATTGAACTATGTAATCTGTAAATAGCCACGAGCCCAAGTGAGCTCACAAACTATATAAAGGGCGAGCCGAACATCAAAGATTTATCCATTATTGACAACAGACCGGCGCTCATAAACCCCTCAGGTCCATTAAATGAATAACACCTTATATTAGTAACAGATTATGTTACATAAAGGGCAGGTTAAATGGTGAATTTATCAATTAATAGTCATCATACCGAACTAAAACATACCGAATGTACTTCTATAAAAAATTTCTACTCTAATCAGAAAATATGTAAACTATATTTTATTTTCTAACGATCGGAAATTTTAAACGACGGTATTGGTTGAACATTATTGTATATTTAACGAGTTTTATACGCGTTGTATGGAATATAAACAAACATTGAAAGGAGTTGCGCTCGCATCTGCAATTAGGATCGCGACGTCGGTTTATTTTTATTGCCACCTTGACATACAAGCAGTATGGTTGCTGCAAGCACGGTTAGAATAATCAATCACGTCATCATTTGCCGCTGAAAATAAACAATAACGGTTTCAATAGATAAATAATATTAAAAAAGGATGAATTTGACAAGACAAGTTTCTTTTGTACAAACTAATAATATATAAATAGGTTATTTAAATTTGTTTTTCAATGAAAAAGGTCTAAATACTGGTGTTTTTCTATAACTTTGAGGACGTCATAAATATAATACCACAAATCACAGAGACGAATCTAATATGAAATTGTCTAGAGACCAAACGTGTGTCACATACAAACATTACGAAGATGGAGACTGTGGAAAAAAAATGAAATGTGATTTCACATATTCAAAAAACGAAAATGTTCAAGAAGAACTATAAACAATGAATCAGATAAATTTAGTACCAACATCTTTGCAACACAGGAAATGTCCTATGACAAAACTTACAATCACAGCTTGCAAAATAAGGTAATTGCTACAGGTACAAACTTAACGTCGCAAGGTCGTATGCAAACGAATCTAAAGTTATTCAAACAATGAGCATCGTCCCTGACTCCAAAAAGCCTTAAATTGTTTAAGCTATAAAATTAAAGAACCACCTAGTCACTGTTATGTAGAAAACAATTTATCACTGTTATTTAGAGCGCCGCGTTGCTCACAATTTGCTCGTTATCGTGGCGAACGTTTTTAATCCGCACTATGTTTTTTTTTTTCTGTTACTTTTTTCAGTCGCCGCTTTATTTGCGGCTCGCTGCAGGGCTACCGGGAAAATATCACACACAACGGTGAAAAATATACCAAACAACGAGAGTTGACGTCCTCGCGGAATGGAGGAAAATAAGATGCTTAACATTTCGTTGATATATGGCAGTTCGTAAATAATTTACGAAGTCACTTTCTCAAACTTCCAGATTATAATCATAAATTAACACAACGAAAAAGTGTATTAATTGGATTGATTTCACACAGGAGATTGTGGTCCCTAGAAAATCACAACCAGAGCCTTTTGTTTGTCTTGAAATTTAATTTCAAAATGTTCTTATAATTTTGTGTAAATCATATACCCAGCAGTGTCGACTTCTGACAGCTATTATCGTAATATCACTTTCTATCAGGTATTGCAATCGTATTATCGTTCCATAATATTTTTTTTTTATATTCCTACGCAAAGATTATCTATGCATCGGAGGCAGTATCAGGCCCACTCCCGTTGCCTAATAAATATCAACAAACATATATAGACAGTCATATTAGCGTTTCAAAATTACACGACAATCAAAAGTCACAGGTAACAAGCCAATGTTTCGAACATCGCTAAAACATTAAAAAACAAAACAATATATTCATGTGGAAACAAAACAAAATGTCGTCTTTTTTATGATTCGATCAATATTCCAGCCGCATATCATGTGGGTACATTACATTTAGGTTGATTAACATACGTCAAAGTAGGAATTTCACGTGGAAGCTTAACGTTCCTATATGGACACGTGCGCAGCTTATATGCAAATCGCGGTACCACCGACTCATGTACACAGAAGCGATTCAAAGACACGTTTCATTTAGGATTATTTCGCATGTTTTTCGCTGAGATACTAATACAAAGCCAAATATATTATGTATATATATACAGGTTTTGTTGTTTGCAAAAAGAAGTAATAAAACAATCGCTTTGTTTATTTATATGAATTCGCACTTATTATAGTTTCGAAAGCATGTTATTACCGCTTCGCCATCTTGGAGAATAAACTCTGAAATCGTGCTTATGGTTAGTGGCTTGCTAATTGGCTCATAACTTTACCGTTTTAACTGCCAGTTAAGCGTCGCCAACTAAAAATCAAACTATTATTTGTGCAAATATAAATTGTAAAAGGGCACGACTAACCTTCGTGTTAGTGCTCTAGACGGTTATTATAAATTTATATCATAAACGAAATGGCTGTACGATGGCCGTGGAAAGAGTAATTTATTATGAAATGCATACTATGTACAAGTTCGCTGCATTTTCCGTCTCTATTGCGTACAGTTAGTATAGTTTAACATTTAATTTGTACTAAATGTCCAAGCATCACTAATAAACCAACACTATATACCGAAAAAGTTTTAAAAATGCTTTTACTGCAGCGTGTTGGGTTGGCTGCACCTAAATAAAAGGTGAAATGAAATATCAAGAGGCAGTTTATACGTATCGCCAGCACAGATCATCCGCCTGCACCACCTGTCGCCGACGCGAATAAATAAATTGCAAAAAAAAAAGACAAAACATTCGCGTGCTGCAGTTATAAGGAACACATGTGCACTTGCTAGAACAATATACAAATCGCTATAGTTTAAACTATAAAACATAAAGCTTAATATAGAAAACATATAGCGCCGCAGTCTCGCTGATGTAAAAAAAACACGATCAAAGGTGAATTAAAGTGGAAAAATTAATGAATGTGAATAATGAGTTCTAAAGTCGCTTTGCGGATATATTATTACGCTATTTATAAATAACTATTTATTTTTTTCACAACCTCCGTAGCCCACTGTTTCGTACGTAAATTTCAAGGTGTCGCTATATCTGAGGTCTCGGGTTCGATTCTCGGCCGGGTCAATTTTGAAAATTTCTATATTGTCTCGTATCTGAGTGTTGTGGTACCTTTAGTTGTGTCAAACACGAGGACTTAGCTACAGCAAATGCGAACAGCAAATTTAAATTAAAACTGTTGGGCAAAAGAATTATATACCAACAAAATTAACAATTCCTCAGTATTGATCATTCATATTGTGCTTATATGTCTATACATGTAACCAGAGACAAGTTCCGTAAACATAAAAAAGACAATATACATAAATTAGCAAGCGCATGTGAAAACGTTATTTATATCAAGTTCAGAATTATCAATAATAAATAGAAATAACCAAATATATTTGATTCTTATCAAATACACGAAAATTATTTAATTTCGCTAAAAATGTGTTAAGCGAATACCTGGAAAGATATAAAACATAGAAATCGAGAGTAGAAATTTATATTTTATTGTACTCACCGGGTTTGGAGAGCGGTGTTTTGAGATCGTTGCCTGCCAGTTGAGGATTTTCTTGCACCTAATAAATACAAGAATTTGAAATTAATGCCAACGCCACGAACAAAACTATAGTGAACGTTAAATTGAATCAAATTTTTTAACTTCGAGTTGAAGTAATCTTTCTCGAATATTTTATCAAATAAGATGACATGATTGTGTATGGAAATCAGTCTAGTAGTGCCAAGGTGATGTGTTTTTGAGTATACAATAATTCATCTGCTTCAGATTATTTACCTATAGTTTTATCATCAATCCCGAATCAACAAAGTTATTATAAAATCAATAAGATTTGTCTCTAGGATATTTATTTTTTGTTAGGAAGATTGTGTATGAATAGAATGAATTACTTAATAACTTCAATTAAGTCTAGACTTGGGTAAACTATATGGTAAAAAAAAACTATATATTACACAGAATTATTTTGAATGAATTTAGAACAATCAATGTCATCTAATTAATGATAAACTCTAATGATTAAATTGATTACGTGGAACTTGGTTGACACTGGCCGGTTTCTAAATATTCTTATTTCCACATTTATTGTAATGAACTTTCTCAAGACAACACCCGAATCCATTATAACATTTAGATTAGACCTAGTATAATCAGTTAGCGTTTTACCTTATTAGTGTATGGATTAAAAATAAATTTATTCTCCAGTTCCTTCCTTGGCGTCGCCGCAATAACAGTCAGTGGTGTAGGTAATGATTTCATCTCCTGCAAATAATACAAATCGTTTTATTCTCCCATATTATTGTGTCGAATCAGTCAAGTGCAAGTTTATTATATCTGATATATCATTATATCTGACGGGAGATATTTGTGATTTTATAAAATTCTCACCTTTAAAATGCTTTCTATTGGCGGTTGACTGCTGTCAATGACGTTCTGCAACAAACACAAACTTTAATGAGGCACTCTATGAGGCATTTTCTTATGATTTAATTACAAATGTACAGTTCCAAGACTTTCCTCGAAATTCTAATAACGATGCTTCCATTGAGAGTTTCGAAAAATTCCTTTTTTAACCAAAAGAAAACATATTTTTAAACGTTAATTTATAAGTTTTTTTTCTTCACAGCTTCAATGAAAGTCCCATCGGAAAACGACACCACTACTGACAAATCATGAAATCTTCTTATTCTCCTTCTTTAATTAATGGCTTATCTGCGCATTTCGCACAATTCTTCCAATTTCAAGTGAACAAATAAATTACCAAATGTAAAATGAAATGTATGGAAAAGTCTCAAAAATGTTCTTTCTTTGTTAGAATTTTGTTGTAAATTCTTGTCAAATCTCGGAATTTGAAGTCTGGAAAGTGACATTTGCAACACTATAAATTAAAAGTCTGGTACTTTCAAAGATAATAAAGTAATAGAATAATATTTGTTGTGATCACATTATGTTATAAGATACTAGAACTGTTTATAGATGGCAGCTGTAGTCTAAACATTACCTATTTTCTCGTACATGTCAGGGTGCGCCCACAAATATTATAAAAGAATATTTATAACAATTATTAAAAGGTTAAAAGAATAACACCGATTATCTTCAAAATCTCCGTAAACGATTGATCAGAAGTCGTAAAGTTTGATTTAAATCATATCTAATTAATTCGAACTAGAATAATTATCACTATCAGAAAAACGCCAAGTTTGAGACGTTTCATGTGAAAGAGGGCGCCCGAGAACTTCTAAACGGCAGCCCTAGGGCGAATTCTGTTATGTCTGCGTTTCTCAAAGTGGTGCAAATAAGCCCCAGGAGTTCTAAATACGATTAACAAGTTTGATGTTCAATGCGAAGAGATTTCAATTTTCAAGTTTCTTTATTAAAAGTAAATCGGTAGGATAGCCATAGTACATACTAAAATATTTTAACGCCATATACTCAAATAATATTACGTAAATATTCATAATTTAAATAATAACAAACGTATATAACTTAGCATATTTTAAGTCAGTTTTTTTTAATTATTATCAGTTGAGGTTCAGAGGGCTATAAAGTTTTAGACACCTTGTTTTATTATATTCAACGCGAGATATAAATGATGAACATTTATATCTAAATTTTCATTAGGTTGTCAGAAGACGTTACTGGTCCCTATAAATTACAAAGCTTATTAAAACAATAAGTATTGGAGATCCCGAGTAAGCGATAGACATGTCTATTATGTGTCTAACTTTCAAGTTATTCGTTATGTATTTCTGGTAGAATTAGCGAATGTTATAATCTTTTCTTTAAGCCAAATATTAACATAGCATTTTGAATGTACAATTGATCAAATATAACAATGTAATAGTTTTTCCTTGTAGTGTCATGGTAAATACCTGAGTTTGGAAGCCGTTGGGAATCCGGAGGGGGGGCGGCCTATGTGCCGCCGTCGAGCCGGGCAACTCATTCTGTTGACAATATAGATAAGTTAATTCTAATTCAGATTTATATTTATCAATTATATATGTTAGAATAGAGTTTCTTGACCTCAGGTCTCGTTACAGAAATGGGCCGCGAGAATCTTTAAATGACGTTATGAGTCCATCATAACTTGGAACGTGTCAGATTTTGTAATGACATAAATTTTAGCAAACCACGGACTTTTAGTTATTAAATTCTTTTTAATTTTTTAATGCTGATAAATACATACATTTATTTGATAACTGCCTTTAGCAATGTTTCTTTGGGTCGCTAGACAAAAATAAGTTAAGAAATAGCTGTGCGACTAACATATATATATTACACATCAGATGAAATTAAAACACTAAACATTCTCTATTGAACGTTGGGTATATTTATTTCAACCCGATGTATTCAACTATCACACTACACAAATTTAGTATGCCCCTATGACTAACCTTGTAAGGGCGGTGATGTAGACGGCCATTTTGCGGCGCGTGCGCAGGTTTCTTGAACTCGCTTTCACGCCTCGGGGGACCTGTTAACAAACATAGATATCAATTAAAAGCTTGAAGTTTTTTAGATTACTTAAGATACTTGTAGAAATATGGAGAGAATAACAGTTGTATTAAAAGTAACACAAGATTTAGACAGCGATACGACTGCTGATAATGATTTAAAGTATATTCCAACATAACTGGTTCAGTACATCTGTTTATATAAAGTTTTCTATAAATTTTCAATTTTATCATAAATGAATGACGTATTCTATTCTTTAAGTTGCTTAGGTATCTCATTAATTATTGTAGAGAAATATTCTTTAGTAACCGGAGATGCAGATTTTATTATAACGCTAAGTATGGCAATAACCTTGTTATCAATCTAGTGACGACTCAAGTAATATTTACTTATCATACTTTAAAAAATGCTATATAAATAATTAAAAAATCGACCGATTTTTTGTTGTAACTGGATACGACATAATTTGTGCTTTAATGACAATTTGCCACTTAAATCATTTTTATGTTGAGAGCAATATTAAATTTCGCCAAAAAATAAGTCGATGTAAATAAAATGCAAAATATGGCAGTATGAAAAGTTACAAAGGGAATATATAATTTTTTACACATTGTTTGTTGTGTACAAACATTTGTCAGTAAATTGTAGGAATAAAAAGTTATTTTTATTTATTTTATAAAAGTTAATTACACGATGTCAACGGCAAACCCGCGAACGGCGAGGTCGTGATTTTATGGATTAATGAAGAGCGGGGATCACTTCGGCCCACGCGGGCGGAGTCACGGAATCATAAGGCACTTTAACTCCCGCACAACTAGGGCTGATTATGCGCAAGTTATGTACTTATTCATCGATAAAATTTCCTAAGAAATTTACACCGTTTTGAGAATGATTTTTTTATTTCCAGATATAATATTGCCGTTTATTATTGCCAAGTCATTTTGAAATCTTTAGGAGATGCTAACATTATGAAAATATGTATATACGAGTATAAAAAACCGTAATGTAATTAAGTACGAGCATGATCATTTTCTATAACTACTTTATTTTTTTTACTTGAATCGAATCGAAAGCAGTAATTACTTATTATTTAACAAATTTTACGTATTAGGCAAAGTGTATGCTTAATTGGTTTGCTATATTTTGAAATAGATTTTTTACATTAATTTTAAATGTCATGTGTTTTAAACTTTTATATATATATATATATATAAAATGTTGCAAAATATAAAGCAACAGTTAACTAACTGTCAGTATATCGATATTGTATACAGTCGTATAGAGGACTGTTTACGCTCATCACTAGCGGCGCGGGTGGCGGCCCCGGGGTACCCTCCGCCAGGGTAGGTGTTTAGCTGGTTTATGGAGATTGCCATCAGGACAAAGGAGTCCAAGTTACGGCGGCTAGATTGCGCACTGATCCATATATTATTCGCTAGGAAAGCTTTTTATATAGCAAATTTATTATTTCTCTTGTGGCTCTATATGTTATAAAAGAGTTTTGCGAAAAACGTACAGATTTCAAATAGGTTTCAACTTATATTCTTATTCTATATTATTTTTTTGTATAAAATTGTATGCTATTACAACCCCTTACACATTTCTCACGCCGTATCTCTTTGAATTAAAACAAGTATAACTGTTTGAGAACAAATTGCCTACAGAGAAATATGTCTAGATTATTTAAATATAATTTTGATTTCATATAATCGCTTGTCCTCCTATAAAAATAAAATAAGTCTTGTTAATGTCCGAATCAATACAAAAAAGGACTTGTCTTTGTAGTTAGAAAACTAGATACAGAGTTTCCATTAATTTACACTCCAATTGAGACGTCCTTCGCCTTTCTTGAAAATTTGTAGACAAAGCAAATGAAAGAATCGAGTTTATAAATCTGTGATGTGATTAGATTACTTTTTCTATAGTATTGGACCGCCTGAAATAGCAAAGTTTATAACAAGATCATAATCATAAAGGACCTTGAATTTTTGTGTTGCAGGGAATACTTGTGTTCGCTACTCTCCACAGTTAAGAGAAGTCCGACAGGCCTATCGCGAAACTAATTGGCTTCGATTTGGTTGACATAAGTTTAGATCAAAATGCACTCAACGTTTGATAATGTATTGTAAGATACAGTGTGTAACGGGTTGAATCAAATACACTCAACATTCAATACAGTATTGAACTTTGTGAACATTTTAAATGAATCAGATGCTTGTGATAAATCGGTAGGTCTGCTATATAGATAGTGTAAAATGAGCTATTAAAAATAAATCTTATAAAAATATATTTTATCATTTTAGTAACATTTATATAAATAATCATTGATGTTAACACAAATAAAGTGATTCAATTATATTATAAGCGTAAATCTATTTATAAATCAAGTTCGAAACTGCTTGCAGAAATTATGTATTTTTAAAGTAACCCGATGTGTTTCAGTAAGTAACAGAAATGTATCGATATTTTATTTTATAATTACCGTTACATGTGTTACCTTTAATGTTTTAACGAGAATAATGCTACCGACTTTAACATATTATTTGTATAAAAATAAACCGGGCAAGTGCGAGCCGGCATTGCTTATCGACGATTCCATACAAATTTGTTGACTTTTCACATCACATATATTTTAATAAGTAGCTTTTATTTTTAAATGTGGATCCTCTCTAAGACTATATATTTTGAAATTTAATTATAAATATTTGTTTTACTGAAGAATGATACTTAGCAAATTTTATAATTTTAAGTTAACTACCCTATCAATTTTAATTTCCTTTTGAGGTTTCGACATATATGTTTTTTTACGGCATAAACTGCCGGCTTATTTATTTAACGTCAAATTAACAGTTTCAGCAGCCTGGAAAGGTAGTTATATATGTTTACTTTTGAAGTACGGAACCTTTAAACACTACATAACTTTTACTTGACATATAAACAAACATAATAGATAGAACACGGTGCCATCGTAAAACTTATATTTGATGGCAACATTCTACCCTTTTCCGCTATATATACATTATTATGTGTACCCAGGGAGCGGGGTTATGTTATGTTTAGTTATACTTACTATTACGATTACTGTGCTTACTTCAAGTACAAGTTTTCATAACTTTTTTTTAATCTAATACCTTTCCCTGCTTTTTTATATCTAATACCCAATATGAATTAAGTCAAATTAAAAAAAATAATGAAATCTATGACGTTTCAACTTATAAGACACATACTTGCATTGAAAATTGAATATAGATACATTGAAATAAAAACATAATTCATATTTAGATTTAAAATGAAATTTAGAGATATCATCATTTATGAACCCCTTAATCTCTACATTAAAATACAGCAAATACAGCGCTAAAATTTCATATAGGCGTACGAATCAAATATAAATAAACTAAATATACATCTCACTCACTCCTCATTATAGTGTTATACGTCTGAGAATTTAAAACCACAAACATTACACAGGTTTTATTGCAGCCTCAGTTAATTGATGCGTATTGAGCAGAGCTGCAGATAGGAGTATTACAAGAAAGCTAACTATCCCTCGCCCGCTGCATCCATTACCGATATTAGATTGTAAAATCAACCCATGTTATATGCTAACAACAAGAGGATGGACCAGCCACTCTCAATTACATGTTCACGTACCGCGAACACGGCTCATTTCACCTGACGCAGATGTGCTAAACCTGCTTACGCCTGTTGCATTTTATAGGATTTTTATAAGACACAATTGTACTCGTTATAATTATGCAAACTAGATCTAACTGCATTATCTTAGAGTACCTATATGATATGGATGCCCATTCATATCTATATCTGAAAGAACATGTTAAGCTGTAATGTAATTGACATAAGATTTTGTTAGAGAACCCGAAAAAATAAAAAAGCCTCTTAAGAAAAACAATTTGAAAATCTTAACATTTACTTAAAAATATAGTTCTATTATCTTTTGGTAAGCGAGGGCGACCAAATTTGCGGGTTGAATCTAATTGAAGATCTAATTTGCATTCGATGCGATTGCAAATTAAATCCAAAGTAAGGTTTTCTTATTCAATCTTACTCGTAATTTATTGCCAATATATTATTAGCTATATGACATTGTAAAAAAAAATAGATGTTACGATTTAACATCAGAACTTAAAGTAATATATGATAAATCACAATTGCTTTACATATTTTTAAGAATTTCAAATGTTGATCAAACCTGAATAACTTGAGGCGGGGCAATATTTCAGTGTAAGTGAGAAGTGAATAATTGATCAATTTGTTGTTTTCTATTACGTAGCTAGCTAGATACGCCTCGAAATTCTCAAACTTGTAAATAAGGCCTTAACTTAAAAAGTATTAGATTGGATGTTGTGTAGTATAGGCTATCCGTATAGCCTAGATGTATGTGTGTATGTAGTACTAGATGAAAAATACAGTCTGAAAAAGGCCTGATTTCCTTGATCTTATTGAAGTTAGACAATTAAAGAAAATCTTAAGAATCTATCTATGCAAAAATCAAAACATTTAAACTATTCTATTGATAGTTCAGAAATCGCAAATTTGAAAAAGCATAACTTTTCTGAAATCTTAGCATTTATAATAATCATTTTATATTAGTATGTATACCATAATTATATATTTTTAAATAAGATCATCGTTATTGAATCGTTTTCTTGTGTGCTAACTAAAAGCTCATTTGCGGTAACACTCGCCAAAATTAAATTAAATCTACTTAATTACATTCTCAGCTCGCTACGAAATAAAATAAGTATAAACAACAATATACGAGTACATTTAAAAAGTTACGCTCAAATTAAGTCGATAGTATAGTTTACTATAGATTTATTTGGCACTAGTGCACAAATGGTTGCTCTTTGATTCGCAATGTCAACCGTTCATTTCGCCGTCTATTTCGAATATACCACACGATCAAAGTTCCGGTTAAGTTACGTCACTCGGTTTTGATAGGGAGAGGTCAACATCGAATATATGGTAAACGAATCGGCGGCGTTTCGAATCGAT